TACATGAATAAAGCACAGTTATACTCAGTTTTGCTCCCGCTGTATTTTTAAATACGCAGTAGAGGTATTTAAAGGTAGTAGAGGACATGTACCTGTATATAAAAAACGCGCCCTATAGTCCGGTGCGCCTTATGTGTGTGTGTTAAATACAGAAATGGCACACATAGCTGGGACTGCGCCTTTTAGTACGGTGCGCCTTATGGTTGTGAAAATACAGTACATGGATTCCTGTTGTTAATGTAGTGTATGGTTAAGCTTAAATATTGCTCTGATGTCCGATTGTACCAGAGTTTGCTTGTGGTGGCAACAAAGACACTTTTTAAATATTTGTGCAACTTTCTCTCTGCGTTAAGTGTATGTATGTGAAATACTGGTGTTTGAAAAATACTTGCAGATCCAACACTTTTGACATTTTATTAAATCCTACTTCTACAGTTTGTACTGAATATAAATCTTTCACCAAGTCCAACGTCACCGCATCTGTCGCGCTGCTCCACAATTTACTACAGGCATCCCAAAAGTCGGTCCTCGAGGGCTGCTGTCCTGCAGGTTTTAGAGGTTTCCCTGCTTTAGCACATTATGATGATTGCAGTTGAGCAAAAGCCTGTTAATCACCCTTCAATTAAAATCAGCTGTTCTGGAGCAAGGAAACCTTAGACATATGGAGTAAGTTTTGTATTAATCTGTTGGTTTACTTCTTTTGAGAAGCCAGAGTTGGATTTATTAGCTTTAGCTGTTTTGGCTCCCATGGCTATTCTACTGTTTAGAATGCCTTCTTTTATGATTAAACATGCTCGTTGTGTTCCCATCACTTGCCTTGACACTCTCCTTGCAAAGTTTAGATATATTTATTTGGTCTTTATCACCTGGTGAACCCAAATCAGTTCCATATTATGGATGAGAGTTTCTTAAATTAAGAACTCCTCAGCTGCTGCCATCCCTCCTGCTTGTTGTAGCAACCAAATCCACTTGAAGGGGGTGTTGATGGGGTCCTCTATAACCAATACGACATTGTAAAACTTAAGGGCAAGGTCGCAAAATACTTCATACACCATAAATAGACCATCACTCCTTGCCCAAATAAGACTGTTGCCTGGTTTAGGTATTTGGCCACGTAAACGCAAGTTTACATGGGCGAATATTCTGCTTGGAAAAGTAATTACCCATAATGCAATATTGGCATAAAAAAAGGAATATTATCTCCCCCCCCCCTTTTTTTTTCATTATCCCAGAATCTCCTAAAACGCTGGCACACGCATAACTGTCTATGTATTTTTTTCAATTTTGGGCGTGTACGCGGCATATTCATAATGAGTCAGTGTACGTCCGTGACAGCCTAACTTCTGTATAATGCACAGCAGCGTAATGCTCGTGAATTGTCACAAGTCATTGTCCTGAGGGCCGTAGCGATGCCCCCGGCCTGCATAAAAAGATGTCTTTGATTGTAGTATTAACCTAGCTGCCGTTTACTGCCCGCCAAAAAAAAAAAAAGAATAAAGAAATAAAAAGGAAAAAGAGAGAAGGTTCTCTCATCAGATTTAGGGTCATGTCTGCTAGGCTTATGTGACTGTGAGTTTGAATGCAGGAAGGGTCCATCACACTCACCTTCTCGTTCACCCTACAACTGGAACAGTCAAACCGATGAGATCATGCTAATGTTGGAGGACAGCTAGTATGTATTTCTGTCTCAGCCTTGCCGGGTCCTCCATCTCTTGTGGAATGTCAGAAAGACAGAAAGGTCGGAGCAGTAGCAGCAGATTCGGCATAATCTCTGCTAGAAAGTTTGTTGGTCGTGGCCTTGGGGGTGAACACAGAGAGGATCCATCACACTCACCTTCTCGCCCACCCTATGATGGAGATGAAGTCTGGAGGAGTACAGTTTTCTCCTGTGAACCCCCTTTTTATACCGAAACGCTGGCAATACGCCATTATACGCTAGCTGTAAGTTGGAACCACGTTCAGCGGTCGTCTGGAACACAGACGGTACGTCGGAGATAAGTTCTTGATAACTTACGTATGATTAACTTACACTTTTTTCCCCCCAGCGTTTTATTGTCATTACACTGTCACAAGGACAGAGCAAAGAAATTCACTCTCTGCATTTAACCCATCCCCTTAAGGACCCAGAGTGGTAGTCCGTGGGAGTGGGGCTCAAACTCAGAACCTCAGCATTCCAAGCGTAACGCCCAAACTAGGGCTGCAACTAACGATTATTTTAAAAATCGATGAATCGGCCGATTATTTTTTCGATTAATCGATGAATCGGACAAAAAATATTTTTTA